AGATGACTGCGGTCTGATTTCATCACTCATTTTTCTTCTTTGCTGCCAAGGACCACCCACACCTGGCACGGAGTAGGTGATTAATAACTGGTTGCTCGTATGCTTGTTTTTCGTAGGCATAGGAGTAGGCAGCTCTCAAACTACTTTCTGGGTACGGTAAGACTGCGCAAACAAGTCCCCCGGAGCTAGATTTCGCACTGGAGAAAGAAGTTGCTAAGGTGGAAAGCGAGGTTAGAATAAACCCAATCGTCCTGGGTTGGAATTGGAGGTATCAGTATGAACTCATTTTTAATACATATAGAGATAGATGTAGAAACATATATAGACGAACTATATGGTTTTTTTTCTTAGATCTGACCACGCCAGTGGCCATGTAATGTAAGCACACCCCAGTAACAACGAACACACCGAACACCCAGATCCTGGTTTCTGAATATCAGACGCCACCAGAAGGAACCAGGGTTCCTTGGAGAAATGGCCGATCCCCAGGCTGGTCCAGGGAAGATACAAGATGAAGCTGAACATCTCATGACAGGAAAATAAGGAGGGGCTCGGATTATGATGGGGACACGGCCCGAGAAGACAGAAGCCAGTTTGAAGAGGCCAAATCTAAAGCAATTCGAGTGTCAAAATAATGGTAGTACAGAGGATAACTCACTGAATAAGAGTCTGAGTCTACAATGACATAAATAATAAACAGGAAGGCCTGGGTGGCTCAGTCAGTTGAGTGTCCAACTCTTGATCTCAGCTCAGCCCTGCCTTGGACTCCACGCGGGGCATGGAGCCTACTTAAAAATAAGTAAATTAATTTAAATTAATAAATAACAAACAGGAAGGGAAAGCTCAGAATTGAGTGCCAGCTAGTACACAGAGGGAGTAGAATTAGAAAAGCACCATCGGCAGGCAAGGATCGTCAATGGATCTAGTGGGTAAGTCTGACGAGAAACAAGGTATTCATATGGTCTCACAGCATCAACCCAGAAAACATTAACTCTACACGACAGAATAGTCTACAGTGGAGAAACCTGGCAGACACTCTGACCAACAGATGAAAGTCAACATCACCAGTAGTGGGACCAAGAGGCAGCCGGTACCTCCCGCTGCGAACTGAGGAGAACACATCACCTTTCTGGGCACTCCTGCCAAAAATGCATAACCTGAATTTGCTCATGAGAAAGCGTCAGTCACCCAAATGTAGATTCACACTCAACAAAATAACTGACCTGGCCTCTTCATAAATGTCAAGGGTGTGAAAGACAAAGACAGACTGAGGACTCGTTCAGGTTAAGGAAGCCAAAGAGACACGGGAACTAAATGCAGCATGTGGCTGGATTGAACGATGGACGGAAGACAGTGGTTTCTATTGGGATTATCGGGAAAATGTAGTAAGGTCGGCGGATCAGGTAACAGTATACCAATGATAGTTTCCCGATTTTGATCACTGTATTGTGGTTATATAAGGGAATTCCTGGGGCACCTGGGTGGCTCAGTCAGTCAAGCATCTGGCTTTGGCTCAGGTCATGATCCCAGGATCCTGGGATCGAGCCCCGCGTCAGGCTCCCTGCTCAGCGGGGAGTCTGCTTCTCCCTCTCCCACTCTCTCTGTGCTCGCTCTCCCTCTCTCAATCTCTCTCAAATAATAAAATCTTTTTAAAAGAGAATTCCTTGTTTTTTAGGAAATACACACTAAAGTCTTTAGAAGTAAATGCATATCATATTTGCAATTTTCAAACAGTTTATATACATGTAGATACAGACAAGGAGAGAATGAGAGAATAAGGTTAACTGGTATAATGTTACTATTTGGGGGTGGGGGTGCCTGGTGGCTCAGTCAGTTGAGTGTCAGACTCCTGATTTCCGCTCAGGTCACGATCTCAGGATCATGAGATCTAATGCCGTGGGCTCTGCGCTCAGCGGGGAGTCTGCTTGTGCCTCTCCCTCTGCCCCTCCCCCGGCTGTGCTGTCTTTCAAATAAATACAATCTTTAAAAAAAAAAAAAAAGTTACTATTTGGGGAAACTAGGTAAAATGGATGGAAATTCTTTGTAGTGCTCTTGCAACTTCTCTGAAAGTCTGAAAGTATTTCAAAAGTTTAAAAATAAAATAAATGTTTGCGGGATAAAGGCATGAGGAATTATTTAGCATAGTCCAGGGAATTAACAGCCATTCAGGGTGTGGTGGTCATTAGTAGAGAAGTGGGTGCCTTGTGGGAGCCCTGAGTTGCCCCTTAACTAGAGGTATCAGAATGTTCTTGGCCAGAGCTTTTCAAACTTTCCTGTGCCTGAGAATCACCTGGAGAGGGTTTCTGTTGGGTTTTGTTGTTGTTGTTTTCCCCCAGCGGAGGCTCTGGTACAGGTCTTGGTGGGGGTAGAGATTCTGCATTTCTAACAAGCTCCAGGTGACAGTAATGCTGCTTTTCTGCTGCTCCGGGTATCACCCTGTGGGTCACCAGGGGGTAAATACAGCTGGGATGCAGACCACACGTTCTCGAGCCTGGCTGCACGGCAGGACCCTGAAGAACTGGCTTTCATTGATCTTCCCAGGTGATTCTCCCCTGCAGCCAGGATTAAACCTTTACATTGATGCCTCTCCCTTTCCATCATCTCAAATTGAGACCCTAAGTCTGAATACCACCCTGGCTTCCAGAGCTGCATTCTCTGCTGCTGCTGTATCCATCATACGCCCAGAAGCTGGATGAATCTTCTGGTCAACTGTGGTTTAAACACGCGATAGGCTCCATGCCCCGCGTGGAGGTCAACGCAGGGCTGAGCTGAGATCAAGAGTTGGACACTCAACTGACTGAGCCACCCAGGCCTTCCTGTTTATTATTTATGTCATCATAGACTCAAGTTATGTGCAAACCCTTACCCCAGGCACCAAGCCCTCTGCCATGTGTCCACAACCTACTTTTCCTAGCTGCTCTCCAGGGCTCCCCCCTTGATGCTCCGTTCCCAGGAGAGCCGTTCACCCCCCTGCAGCCCAGGCTCCCCCTTCACGCATTTGCACCTGCAACCACCTCACACGCACACAGCATTGGTCTCCGGTCTCACTCCCGGATGAGAGCCACCCCTTGGTTCCTTCCTCCATGAGGGTCTGTGCTTACAAAGTCACAGACCCCCCCACCCCCCGGCTGGGCCCACCCCAGGGCTCACATTCCTTCGGGGACAGGCTCCCTTCACTCAGAACAGAGGAGCAAGCACCTCTGCAGCTGGGCCACAGGTCACCCCCGTTCCTGTTCACGTAGGACAGGGCTCAGCTGCCTGCCGTGTGTGGGCAAGGGTAGAGAGGGGGCAACCCAGGTGTTGCCCTGAAATTCTGGCCTGGCACCCAACTCCCCATCCCCTGTCCGCCTCCCCACCCTCCCTCCTTCAGCTGAGCGTGTGCCTCGGATCTGAAGGACCTGGAGAAAATAGGTCACAGGGAGGTGCTACCTGGGTTGTCCCCTCAGAGGAGGGTTTGGCCTAGGAGTGAAGCCACATTTGTTAGGAGCTGAAAACCAAACTTGAGAAAGGAACCTGGGAGGCACAAGGAGACCATCTCCCTCTGCAGTGTTCTCCTACCTCCTTCTCTGCTCCTCCCTCCTCCACGGCCGGGCCTCTCCAGGCCTCACTTGCCCTGAAGAAGACTTCGTTTGTACTGACCTAGCACCACACACCGCCCCCCATGCACTGAGCCTGCTGGAGCGGATTCCTGTTAATAGGCTTGGCTGCCCAGGGATGGGCTGCGGTAATCATGAGGATGAGGGGCTGCGCCTGGGCCTCAGTTCCCAGGAGAATCGCAGCTAAAATCAGAGAGGGGAGCAAGGGCCCCTGGCTCAGAACAGCTGCTGGAGGGCCAGCCTCAAGTCCCCAGAGGCTTCTGAGGCGGAGGACTCAACCGTGCCTCTGGCTCCTGCCCAGCTAGTTGTCTCTCCCTTGGGGATATTCAGGTGGAAACTTCCAGAAGAGGCTCATCCCACCCTCATGAAAGGAAGATGTCCCCTCCCACCTCCCATCAAAAGCTCTTGAGGCTTTGCACCCTCAGTCTCCCTTTTTGGCTGAGTGTTTCCAGATACTCAGCCCAGCTGAGTTCCTTTTTGGCTGAGTGTTTCCAGATACTCAGCCCGGCTGAGTTCCAAACAGAGAGGCAGGAACTTAGAAGCAGATATGAGGAAGACCCCTAAAAAAACAAACATCCCATTCCCAGATCTGGGAATGTCCTCCCCACTCCATCCCGTCTCTCTAATCTCAGGCCCCACGTCACTCCAGGAAGAAACTGTCTTTGAGATACCAGAGCCCCCACGGCTACCTCCACCTCTGTCCTCCAGACACCCTTGGGCTGCCCCATGCAGGTCAATGCTTGTCCCCTGCCCTGTTGTCTCTGTCTCCCAGGTGGCTGTATGAACTACTTGCCAGGCAGGTACTTTCCCACTTGTTTACAATAACCGTAATTTTCCAATCCCCAATCAGTATCTCACAAATAACGTTAGGGTCACTCTTGGGTAGAAGAGGAAATCTGGATGCGAAAATACTGTAGTTTGAAATGATTAGAAGAATTATGGAAGAAATAAGTAAAAATATTTGAAATTGAGGCTATCTTAGAAAATCCAAGACAGATACAGGCACTGCGTATATATTCTCTTACATCTCCAGGCTAATCACTCACAGAGCACTTGGATCTTCCATCTCTTTGACATTTTCTCCCTGTTTTACCCAGCCGCTCACATCCATTCCATTCATCCCTAATCAACACATTACATGGTTTTTCCATGAGTCAATTTTTATTGGTTTTTGAAGTAATGAATTATTGGCATAAGGCTCAATGAGTTTCAAAGCAAATGACAGAAGGAAATTACATCATACAGGGAGGTGGGAAGACCCAACAGGGAAGACTCCCAGAGCAGCTCTGACCCTCACCTGCAAGAGTGGGTCTTGCTTGTGAGGACCCTGCAGCCAGGACCCAGCCCAACTGAGAAGGACTGCATGGAGCTGGAGGTGACTGAGCCACATCTCAGGGGATCTGAAGAGGTACCTCAGTCCTCTCTGAGAGACAGTGGACTATTTCTAGCCTTCTCGGAACCTTCCAGCCTTAAATCTTTGCCACCAATAGCAGCTTGACCACCCATGAGGACTCTCCCTTCCTCTGAGATAGCCAGCCTACTCTCCCTCACCTGTGCCTTTTCAGATGGAAGCCTCCCCAACCAGGGACAGATGAAGGCCCCTGAAGATGGAGGAGGAGGGAGAGGAGGAGGCAAGAGTTGGTTCCAGAGAGGTGGCAAAACCCAGTGACCCCTGAGGGTATTTGCCCTTCCCCTCCACTATGGTAGGTCTTCCCACCAATGTTTGGGGGGTAAAGAAAAGGGGGCTTCTCAATAGGAGAGCTCCTGACCCCCCTCCCCCGAGGAGGGCTCCTCCTCTATGAGCTCCAGGTCGAACTCATCTTCCAGGGACCCTCCAACAGGCAGGAGGCGGAACTTCTTCCCCTTCAGGGTGCACGTGCGATGCTCGAAGTCCAGGACGGCATTGTGGTCCTGGAGCACGTCGGTACCAATGATGGCTTCTTCAGCGCTGGCGTTGGCCACGAGGAACTCTGCCTTCAGCTTCAGCTTCCCCAGGGACACCACTGTATCCCAGATGCCCAGGATCTTCATTTCAGCCCCATTGGCCACTTTTACCATGTTCTCAAAGGGCCGCAGGGTGTCCAAGTCACCATCCGTGACCTCCTCCCACAAGCCAGGGTGGACCACAGAGACCTGGGCCCCGGAGTCCACCAGGAACCTCACGGGCACTTTGCCAATTTTCCCCTTGAGGTAGTAGCCCTTACCCATGCTGTTGGCAAAGACGATCTCCTTGGGCAGGTGGCTGGGGGCGGCCTCGGGCCCCCCAAAGGCCTGCAGGAGGGTCTCTCTCACAGCCCCATAGTCTTCCTGGTCCTTGGGGCTGAGTCCACTGTAGAGCTCCAGGGCATCTCCCCTGAGGGACTCTTTCAGGAACCTTAGTTTGGTGGCATGGTCCCAGTGGTTGAGATCGTTGATGACTTCGAAGCGGTGCAGCCAGAGGTATGGGGCTACATTGGTCCCATCAAAGGGCTCCGGGATCAAGGCACGCTCCTGACGGCCTTCCTGGCTCCTGGCTCCACTCCCCGCCATCCCTCTGCCCTCCTCTGGAACTGCAGCAGCAACCCACGCCAAGTAGAGCAAACCACAGAGCAGTGTGGGCGCAATCACCCTGGAGAACAAGGCCTCTCTGAGCAGTGTTGTTTGCTGCCCGTCTGGGGCAGGTGGAAGGGGCCTGGCACAGGTTGTCTGACTGACTGCTGGGCACGGAGACAGGCAGCTGCTATGGCCTGCTCACTCTGCAGAGCCTTTTTGATGCCTAGCCTAGGCCCCCAGGGCTCCCCATTCTCCTTTGTTCTGGAAGCCCCGCCCTTGCTCAGCCCGCCCTTGCTCAGCCCGCCCTCCTGCCAGCATCCTGCCCAACGAGCAGGATCAGTGCCTCACCCTTCTGCATCCATCCCTGGGACTGGTACAGGCCAGCCCACAGTGCAAGAAAGTCCAGCCCCAGTCAGAGGGGACCCACTCAGGTACCCTCCCCAGAGGGTTTAGCTTGTGTCCGAGAATAACAGATGAGGACACAGAGTATGTTATGACATCCAGGTGTCTGTCATCAGCTGGAGAAGGAAGGGGGAGGCAAGGACCAAAGGCCCATCAGCTTCTAGCCTGGGGAAGCCCCTTTGCCCTCAACCCCCAGTGACCACTTTGAGTGGCTAAAGAAAAGGAGCATACATTCACTACGCTCTTACTATGTGCAAGGCCTGGGGTAGGTGTTTCTCATACATTCTAAACCAAGTATGGAATCCCATAAGATTCTCTAGAGGGAAAGACAGAGGATAGTCCCAGAATCAAGAATGCACAGAAATTAAGTGAGGGGACACACACACACACACACACACACACAAGCATTTACCATGAACTCGACTGCTACAGTCATTTTTCCCTCGTTGATCACATCTGATTCAGAGTCAGCACTTGGAGGGGAGGGGAAGGGGGCAGACCTAGGCCAGAGCACCCTCATTAAGGCCCTGAAGTGGGTTGGTGCCAACACTGAACTTCTGGGAGCGTACGTCAGGATCCAGATGGGCTCCAGCTCCAGCACTGGGCGGGCCCCAACCTCTGAGCCACCGATGTCATCTCCTCCCCTCCTGTTCCCTCTCACCCTCCAGGAACCTTCCAAGAGCCCCTTCCTCAAGCTCCGCGGCCCTCCCCCCCCCCCCTCATTCTGTGCTCATTCATGGAAAGAGCAGCCAAGGAATCTCACTCCCTTATGTTCTGAGAAGGGGAAATGTCCGCCATGTTGGCAAAGCCAGTGGTGAGGTTCTGGAAGGCTTTGGATGGAGGAAGTTGGCTGTGTGACCTCCGGCTGGGGAGTGCAGGCTGCCTTGGGCCACCCCATGGATTCCCAGAAGGCGGATCTGTGAGACCCAGGGTTGGACCCTGACTTGGGCCTGTGTAGAGAGACTGGGGCTGTTGGGGGGACCCACTTTCATCACCTCCTTCAAATGTCATCCCCTCTATGGAGCCTTCTCCTCTGCATCTCACACACGAGCCCACTCCCGGCTGAGCACGTGTTGCAGTGTGGTGTGCTGGTTCATTCATAACTCTGTCTCCTGCAATGAACCAGAGTGTGAGGTTCACACAAACCAGACACATGTGACTGTCTCCAGCCCCCACAGAAACTTACTCTCGGGTCAGCAGGTGTTCCCTGCCGGGCTCCAGACCTGTCTGAGTGCTGTCACCAAGCAAGAGGGATTAAGACAAGAGAGGAGCAGGAACGGTGCCACACCTGTGGCTGGGGGCTGTTTTTCCTGGCCCAGAGCCTGTTTCTCATCGGTTCCCTGTACCACTCATCCCCCAGTGCCTGGCTGACTCCCAGAGGACCCTGGCCCCAGTCCTGCCTCTGGACGTAACCAGGGTCCCTGGCTATACCGGAAGATCCTTAGTCCCTGCTGCTGTCTTCAGCCCCTTCCACCTGACACAGTGAGCTAGCAGAGAGGCAGCTGGGTCAACACCTCTCATCACAGCTGCCTGGCTAAGGTGGGGCCCTCGTGTCATTCCAGAAGCCCAGAGGAGGGGGAAATGGAGTCACTGGGAAGGTGTCAAGTGCAGGTGGGTCTCCAAGAAGATTGCACCATGAAAAACCTGCACGCAGAGAAATGGTCTGGCCACCCACAAGACCAGGAAGCCCCATCTGCCAGTGAACTTTGTGGACAGCCTCCCAACTCCTGGGATGGGCGCTGTGTCGTCCTGTGGTCCAGGGAACTGACCTAGTAGTGGCTCACCTGGCGCACCTGGTCTCCTGGAAGTGGGAGTGTGTGAGGAGGCTGCGTGTGACGGAGGCATGTGAGAGGCAAGGTGGCTTGTCACCTGGCAGACTGCTAGCTGCTCCAAACTGGGGCTTGTCAAACCATCGGGCAGATATTGAGTCATACCTCCCCATTGCTCCGGACTAGAGATAGGTCGTCCCTGAGACTTGGGCTGTGGCACTTGCTTGGGTTTGGTGTCCCCTTTGGCAAAGCCATTTCACATCCACCACCTCCGCGGCACCACGGAAACCCACGAGGCCGAACAGCCGGCCTTCCTCCAGACCTGCAGCACAAGGGGTGTGAAGGGCGACGGCTGGCCTCAAGCCCAGGCTCACACGCTGTCCAACACAAGGGTAACGGCATTTTGCAAATACAGGCAGGGAAGTGGGAGTCGGGCTCAGGGAGACATGCGGGTGGGTCCTGGGGGCTTGTGTGGTTGATGGCCTCTGGTGGGGACGGTGAGCTAATGGGCAGTGAGAGCTGGTTGTTAAATGTTCAAGAGTTCTGTAAGTCAGTTCTTAAACCAGCTGGTAGCTTGAAATTGGACCTGGTGGCAGTATTGACACCGCAGACATTAGCAAATTCTTAACCAGGACTTTTTTTTTTCCTGGAAAGCCAGCTGGTCATCCCACCCCTGCATGGGGGCCTCGGTCATGCCCTCTCTCTGGGGCAGGCCAAGCCCCGTGGCCAGTGATTAACAAATTTATCGAAATCTCCACTCCTGCCCACTCACGTGGGCCTAAACCCCCTTTCTTGCCCACCTTGCCCTTGACATTTGCCCAAACAACCTTTACACTTCTGGGTCCTTTGGCCAGAGGCAGGGGACCCTCCTCAGAGGCCCGGCAGGCGTTCTGCTCGTACAGACCCATCTGGACCCCCAGACCGAAGCACACGGGGCCCTCACAGTCACTAGGAGAGCGGGAAGGCCTTGAGTTTAGGGACCGGTCTCTGGCTAGGATCAGGAACATGATGAAATAACTTCTCACGTTCCCTTAACCCTTGGGAGAAGCCATACCTGGAACACCCCAGAACCACTGAGGGACCTTGGAATTGCTATGCTAATCTACGATGATGAGCTAAACCAACTGGGGCAGGCCAGGTGCCACAGCCTCCTCCCAGAACCTAGGAAATCATGGTTAATTATTGACAAGTATAGGTATTGGGGCGGGAACACCCTCTTTATTATCCATCAGCATCTCCTGAGTGTGCTCTGAAGCAGGCACACCACACTCAACTGGAAAGGAGGCAAACCAGGACAATAAACAGGAAGGACTTAGGGAATCCCCACCCTCCACAACCCCTCACTGAGAATCTGGGGCTGCGAGTTCTGCTGGCCCATTGTTGCCCCCAGCTCCCTGGCCCCCTCTGCCGTTTCCCCCCCGGGGCAGTTGTGCTATGCACAAGATCAGTAGAGGGCCCATTAGGGCCTCCAAGAATTGAAGCCCTCGGTGGGCAGTGGGGGCAAGGGGGCCTGGATGTCCTCAGGAGATTGTTTTGAGCAAAGAGCAGAGAGACACACACCTTATGGTGCCTGTGATGAGGTCCCAACTGAAATGTAAGGAGGATGAGGAGATGCACAGGCCACCTGTTACAGCTCCTCTCCAGGTTGCCTCTGGCTAGCACCGCCATCCCCCAAATCAGGGTCACCCTGGGAGCTGGATGGGGAGAGAGCAAAGGGATTCAAGGACTTACCACGGCAGCACAGGTAGGCTGAGGGGAGACCGGAGGTCCACATTCTCCAGCCTGGGCAGGCTCCGTGGGTGTTTAGCATATGACGTCACGTGGGACTCTGCGCTCAGAAAGGCCAACCTGGCTTTGGCGCTGTGCTATCCTGAAATTCCCAATAATTTTGAACGAGGGGTCCCATGCTTTCATTCTGACCCAGGCCCTATAAAGTACATAGCTGGTGTTGTCTCCACCTGATTTGATGGGGACTTCTCTTCCACATCCCCATCCCCATCCACACACGCACATACCCCCTCACACCGCACTCATATAGGCTGTCCTCCCTGCACACTGCACACACCTCCTGTACGTGTAAACCCCATGCCACCCATGCAAACACAGTCACACTACGGTTCTCAGTTCAAAACGGCTATGAAATTGTGTAACTTGCATATAGAATTCAGCTCCCACCTTTCATTTCCCAGATGTATTTGCACACACATTTACACTGAGTATTAAAATCAGATTTATTGGAGGCACCTGCTGTTTATTAGCCTCTGGGCACACTTGTTGGCTCAGAGAACTAGGCAGGTCCCCATCACCATGGCTTACAAGCTAATGAAAACAGGATACAGATGTTTAACAGCCTGTTTTGAAGAGTTTAAGACGGACATGTATACGCAGACTGACCATGTGAAGCAATCCCAGTCACAGCCACGCTGCTCTGAAAGTGGGTCATTCTGCCCTCAGCCTCCCCTCGACTGTGTGGGGCCAAGGACACGGGGGCCTCCCCTCCTCCCCTCTCTGGGCACTCGCCACCATGAGCAAGGCCCTCACTGCCGGCCCCCCTCCCGTGCTGAGGCCCCGGTCCTGGGGCTGGTGCGGGTTGACGGCACCGCTCCTAGGGGCAGGAGCCACAGCTGCTTCTGACATTCTGCTTCATGGGGCCTGGCATCGGGTCTTCAAGCTGAAAAGAAGGGCAAAGAGGTGAATTCTGCACAAAAATCTAATTAGGGATTCAGATCAGAGACCAAGGTGGGGCTGGTGGGCTCTGACCAAAGCAACACATGTGGGGAAACCCAAGGCACCAGCAGGTTCCCTATTCTCAAACCACCAAGCCTCAGACTACCAGCACCGCTGTTCCCAAGCAGGAAGTACCCAGGCCTCACAACAGTCATGGCTAAAGGCACTTAGCAGAGAGAGCTTTTCCTTAACTGGTCCTCCTTCTTGGTCCCTGCCACTGCCCTGACCAAACAGGCACTTCTGCCCGTGGGGCCCTTGCCCAGTTCTCCAGAACCTCTCTTTGCCCATTTGGATTGCCCTCACCCTCCCTTACCATCAGTTCAGAACCCTTCTACCAGAAAACCGCCCAGCACAGCCCACCAGCTGAACCCACTCTGTCAGCCGGCAGCAAGATGCCTGGTGCCAATGGGGGCCCTGGAGGGTCCCAAAGGGTCCTGGAGGTGTTTCCAGAACAGTGATCTCAGGCCTCAGTGCTATTGCCAGTCCTCCAGGCCTGGGGTCAGGGCCATGGCCAAGAGTCAGAACACATTACTGACTGACTTCCTACAAGTCCAATAGGCCGAAAGTGGTTCTTTCCCTATGTTTATCTTTCAATCAAATATGAATATCACTTAAGGTGTTCTGAAGGCCTCCCTTCTCCCCTCCCCACAGCCTGCCCTCCAATTGGGTTCCCACCTTCTTCCCAAGCCCTGATGCCCCCACCCTAGACCAAGCCCTCATCTCTTCTTGCTCTGATTTCTGCCACCCTCCCTCTGAGCCCAGGGGTTCTGCCTGGCCAGAGGGGCCCGGCAGACCCCCTCCTCCTCTCCCATCTCCATGGTCTCCTTCACTTAGTTGAGGGTGGGAGTGGGACTTGTAAGAGAGTCTCAACAGCTCTGGGGACACTGACCCACTTGTGGCAAACACCCCTGAAATTTATGAAACATTCAGGCAATCAAAATATACAGATTGGGTATTCTCCAAATACAAGTGGGCTTCTAATGACACCAGGAAACTTGGCTTAGAGCTAGACACATGGAGACTTTGGCCCAACTTAAAATACCTCAAAGGCAGCTTTGAACTGATCCTGAAATAGTTTTAATTGCTGCTAATGATAACTGGTATTGTGAGCAATGCAAACATATAAAATAGCCTCAGAGCAGGGAGCTCCTTCTTGTGAATCCACTGCCAACTTAGATTTGCTCCTAACTTACAGAAGACGGAGACAAAGCGGGGGCACCTTCCCTCTGGCATGTCAAAGTGGTGTCATTTCTTTGCCATCTGGAAGAAGTGGGGGGAGGCGGGAAAGGGAAGGAGGAAAAACAGCAGAGCCCTGACATGTACAGAAATCCCCAAGTTACTGGGAGTAGCAGTAACAAACATTTACTGAGCATCCACTGTGTGCCAGACACCATGCTGCCGGCTGTAAATTAGTGTAAGGCAAGTCTGCAGCATAAATGGGAATGGGCAATGCCAGATAAGTGGGTTGATTCAATTCCATACATATTTCTTGAGGCCAACTGTGCCTCACATTGAGATGAATCAGCGGCGCCCTACCCTCACACAGTGCTCAGGTGAGTTGGGGAGACAGGCTCAGACACAGATGCCCTGAATCCAGAGATGAGTGTGGAAGGTGGGCAAGACAGTGGTCCAAGGAGCACTGGGCAACTCATCCCACGGAAATCAACCTATATTACTCAAGAAAAACAAAAATGAAAGGAATGTTAAGGGGAAACCTGCATTGGCACTGAAACCAAAGAATGAGGGCACCCACAAACCACAGACTTGAATCAGTTGTGGTTGCTCTCTGCAGTCTCTGTGGAGGGCTTTGGGGGTGAGGGCCCTGGGACTGAGCCAGTTCATATGGACACACCAGACAGGAAGGTTTGGGGGGATGGAGTTATTTTCTGGATAAAAAAATCCAGTTAAAAATATGTACATAAAAGCACAGAAAAAAGACTGGAAGGAAATACACCAAAACAGTGATAGTACTTATTTTGGGGTGGTAGGATCATGAATGATCTTAATTTTCTTCCATATACATTCTGAGAGTATATTCTCTAATAAGAAAAAAATTATTTAAAAATAAAGAAACTTGTTCTTACAATTTCTGTAAGCTTAAAATTATTTCCAAATAAAGTTTTCAACCAGGGATATGTGGGAAATCTCTCTATACCTTTTGCTCAATGTTGCTGTGAACCTAAAACTTCGCTGAAAAATAAAATAAAATCTGTTTTTTTAAAAGATTTTATTTATTTATTTGACAGAGAGACAAAGCGAGAGAGGGAGCACAAGCAGGGGGAGTGGGAGAGGGAGAAGCCGACTCCCCACTGAGCAGGGAGCTCGATTCCAGGACCCTGGGATCATGACCTGAGCCGAAGGCAGACACTTAACAACTGAGCCACCCAGGCACCCCCAAAATAAAATCTACTAAATTATTTTTGTAAAGTTTTTAAAAAGGTACTTACAGGGGGAAGTCATACAATAACATTGACAATCATAATAATCACTGAAGGTTAATGATAGGTACAAGAGGGTTCATTTCAGTTTCCCACAACTTTTGGGTGTGTTTGAAAATTTTCCATAGTAAAAAGTAAAATAAGTAAACTAAAGCTCTGTGCCAAGACCCTCTCCAGCCTGGTCTGCCCAGTTCTAGGCCCAAAGCCTGGGCAGTCTAGATGTCACCCAGTCCTGGGCACTGCAACCACTGGTCCCCCGGGACAGGCAGTCTCAGCTGTGTCTCAGTGTCCCTGCTCGGCATCCTCTCCCAGGCCCCCCCGAAGAGATTCTCAGCTAACTCTTGCCAACAGGACTGACCTGCACACTGGGCCCCAGGCTCTGGGCTCAGCACACAACCCTGCTCCTCCTCAGTCCCGGCCCCATCCTCATGGTAGCAACACCAGCCTTGCCCCTGATGCGCCAGAGGCGTGCACCTTCCTGCCTGGCTGCGCGCCCCCCCGCCCCGACCAACTGCTTGTTGCAGGTGTCCCTGTCCTATACTTTTTTTTTTGTCATGGGTTCCCCTTCCTCAGCCAAGTCAACATGTACCAGTCTCTCATGTCTTAAAAAATAAATCCCTCACATGGTCCAGCACCCCCCTTGGTCAATGACTCCTTCTCTCCTTCCTTGCCATTGCCTAGAAGGGCTGAAGTCCAGCCTGCATCCTCTGGCCAGGCCAGTGTCCCGGGATGAGGGCCTGGAGGAAGGAGCCCACCTTTCTGATTTGCACAAAGGTGCAGCCCTGCTTCCTGCCTGCCTCACTGTGTCACCCCACTCACCCCCAAAGCCCCTGGCTCCTGCCCCCCGGCCCCCCACTGCACCCCGGCCCAGCATGTCAGTGGCCTCCCAGTGGCCACATCCCATGGCTCCTTCAAGGAATTTGATTTTCTGAAGCATCTGTATCACTGCTTTTCCTCCTAAGTCTTTTCTGTCCCATTGGCTCCCGGGACCCAAGTTTCTGGATCTTGTGCCTCCAAGACCACTCTCCTCAGTCTCCTATGGGCTCCTTTCTCCCCTCGATAGCGCCCTCTCTCTCACTCTGCACTCTCCCCAGACTGTACCCCGGGCCTAACCTCTCTGCTTTGCTCCCGCTGCCCACCGCCACATCCACCTACAGCTGCCGCTTCCATTTGGTTCTAAGTTTTGTGGGTTTTTTTAGTAATCTCTACATGCAACATGGGGCTCAAACTCATGACCCCAAGATCAAGAGCCACATGCTCTATCACCTGAGCCAGCCAGGCGCCCCTTTCAACAGTGAATTCGTTATATCTTCTCCCCAGGCCCTTGTGGCCCCCTGTGTTCTTTTTCTGGGTAAAAGGTACCACCACCCAGCCAGTTTCCTGAGTCAGCCACAGCGGGGGCACCCTCACCTCCTCCCTCTTCTCAGAGCCCAATCCCATCGTGGACGGGTGGCCACAGCCGGCCGGCTCCTCCTCCCGAGTCCTCCTGCCCCTGCACCCCCACTGCCTTCCTTCACAGGCCCCACCACTGCAATGATGGTGCTGCAGATCTCCTCCACATTAATCCACTCTCCTCACAGCCACCCGAGTCCTGAGATGTAAGTCCACTCATGTCATCCTTCTGCTCAAAATTCTCCATAGCTACTCATCCCAAGATAAAATCTCAACTCACAACATAGCACATGAAGGCCTCCTCCCTAATTCATGCTCCGCCTACACCAAGTGGCTCATGGTTCCCCAGACATGATGGGCTTGCTTGTGCCTTTTCATAAGCCATTCATCTGACCAGGCAAGCCTTCCCCACAGGCCTGTTCTTCTGGAGAACCCCAACTCTTCCCATCTGAGGCACTGCCACCTCTGGGAAGTCTCCCTTGATTTCCCTGGAAGACTTAGGGGCTCCCCCCTAAGCTCCCATCACAGGGACTATAACCCTTATGCCGCCTGCAAGCTCCCAGTGGCATGACCCAGGCCCTCTTAAAGTTGGAGACACAATCTAGGCATGAAAGTCATGGTCTTTCTGTCTTTGCTCATATTGTTCCCTCTGTTCATCCATAAGCTGGGCGTCCTCCAAACCCTGCTCACCTTCACCCTGCTCTTCCTCAGCGGTCACTCTCTCCTCCAGACTTGGAATATCAGGCCTGGCGATTGTCTGTAGCTGCTGAACAGTGGCATTCAAACATTTTTATTTACTGTAAGCACAGAAAGACAAACATTTTTCATCATATGCTAGTACACACCTGCATTATAATACATGAAATATACAAGTAACTGAAACAAAAATGTATTTACTACCTGTAATATCATCTGATACCTTCTAATTCACTTGCCTTTTCTTTTTTTAATGCTGGTAATGACACATTCAATTAAGTTCCACAAACTGGCCCCCACCCACTATTTGAAACCTCTGCTATAGCCAGTGGGGATCACTAAAGGTTTCTAGCAGGGGAGCAATGGGATTAGAAGTGGGGGTTAGAGGGGCACCTGGCTGGCTCAGTTGGTGGAGCATGCGACTCTTAATCTCAGGGTTGTGAGTTTAAGCCCCACATCGGGCATAGAGATTACTTCAAAATAAATAAAATAAAATAAAATAAGGGTGGGTTATAACAGTGCTTCTCAAATATTCTAAGGGGAAGGACCAATTTTGTAAGTTCCCAATCTGTCATGTACTTTATTTTTTAAAAATACAATAAAATGAATTATTAGAAAATAAAGTAACAAAGATATTTTAAAAAATGCAAGCCCCAATTCATTATTATTAACTTCCAGTAGACACTGTGGAGTGGCGCAGCAAGAATGTGATGGGAGGCAGACACCAGCCTGAGGCTACAGGCTGGGGAGGCTTTCCCAGAACTTTGATGCCCATAAGCCCTTGACATGCGGCCACACCTACCCTGCCCACCTCTGCCCTGAAGAGATTCCTATTTGCATAGTCTGAGGGGCTCTGCCAAGGAGAGAAGAGCCACAGTGCAGGCTCCTGTCTTGTCAACAGAGCCTGGTGCCTGAGTTCGCATCCTGACTCAGCCACTAACTGGCTGTGGGCTCTGGATAAGGACTTAACCTCTCGCAGCCTTGGTTTCCTCTAGGATTGTCCTGGGAGATAATACAGCAATCCTCATGGCAGTGCTTGGCCCGTGGCCGGAATCTGGTTCACACCGCATCTTGTCGCCCTCACGGTTACAGTTCTGTTGCTGTGGTCTCTGCTGGCTTCCTGAGTCAGCCTCATCCTCCCAGGCCCCTCCTCTGTGTCTCTCACTGCCCACTTGGGCCAAACCTTCACCCCGTCTGCCTCTCACTTCAGGACACAGCTTGAACCCTCCTTGGCAGAGGAAATAGTGGGGCCCAGCTGCTTCCCACCCCAGGCTCTCTTCACTTCTACATCCTTTCTCAGAACTCTCCCTCCAGCCCAATCCCTCCACCTGAGCCTCACTTACCCACCCCTAGTCCCTCCACTGATGGAAGCTTCTTTCCATCGGTGATTCCCTCCCTCTTCTGGGAATCTTTCCAAAGAGTTCAATCTGGTCTCTGGTCACTCCTCAGCCTAAGGCAATCTGCCCAATGGTGTGCTGGTAAATACATAACAACAGGCACTCTGGAGAAAAAATGTAATCACATATGAGTTCATTTTAAACTTTACTGACATAAAGGATGTTTAGCAATTCACAAGTAGCAATAAAATATACAGTAGTCTTGGGTGCCTGGGTGGCTCAGCCATTAAGCGTCTGCCTTCGGCTCAGGTCATGATCCCAGGGTCCTGGGATCGAGCCCCATGTCGGGCTCCCTGCTCAGTGAGAAGCCTGCTTCTCCCTCTCCCACTCCCCCTGCTTGTGTTCCTTCTCTCGCTTTGTCTCTCTGTCAAATAAATAAATAAAATTAAATATACAGTAGTCTATCCTGTAAATTGCATATAGCAAATTGAGTCTTACAGAAAGCTTTCATTGATTTTTACCAATCTGCTAAATCCATAACTAACCTATAATTATACTTGACAAATGAGTGTAGTTCTAACGTGAATATTGGTTGATATTTTTGCTTATGCCGACTAATAAGAAAAAGTGAAACAGCGAAGATACGTGTTGCAACTTCACTCCTTTGTCAATGGTGTAAGCAACTTCTTTACTGAATCCTGTAATACTTTTTGAATACTGGAAGAACATCTGCTCAATTTCTCTGTACCATTCACAACATCATGGCTATAGGCACAAGATATATGAAAGTTCAAAGTGCATTATTAACATTTTCTCCATAATTTTCCTATGTCAAGGTAGTCAACAAAGCAATAAATCAGGCCCCAATGTGTGGTGTTTGTCAATTTCCTTGGTGCAAATATTCCCACTATGGCTGATTTCAAGCTACCAATGTGATGCCACTGAATGTGGAATTAGGAAGAAAAGCACAGTAAAACAACATCATATAGTATTTCCAGAGACATAACAGATGTAAATAATCTTAAAGCCATAAACAATAAAATATTCTGAAATTCTTAGAAGTGATGATTTGAGTACCTTTGTTTTTAATATAATTTACTTAATTGTAATTTTATGTAATTTAATTTTTTCTCCACCCCCTAATTTAATTTTTTTAGTAATAGGCAGGTTTAATTATTGTCTCGCAAAACTCCTGAATATTTAACATCAGCTCTTGGGAGCTAGTATCATCTGAGCACACCTGGATCTGACCCCATCCCCCCAGGTCTGCCTTGAACAGGGACCTCAAAAAGCTCTCCAAACCTGATGGCCCCTCCCAATGTACATTTTTCAGGTCTTATAAGCAAAATTGAACTCATTTTCTTGCTCTCAAATCTGCTCCTCTCCAGGCTGACATCTTGGGGAATGGCTTCACCAGCCACACAGGAACCCAAGCCAGAAACCACAATGTCACCAGCCCACAAACCCCACACCTCCTCTGGCTGCAGGTCACAGTCATCTAAAGCCCACCCAAGTCCGCCCTTGCTCTTTATCGCCTGGCCTGCTCAGGCTCACACCCCCATTGCCTTCTTCCCAGTCCCCTACAGCCTGACACTGCCCATTCCTGCCCACTTTCCTCATGGCATCAAAAGCACTCTCTATGTCCTGCCCTGTTCTGTACCGGGCAAAGTCCAGACTAGTCAGTGTTCCTTGTTGTGTCTCTCCAGATCCATCTCTGGCATATCCTGCACACTCAACTTCTGCTTCAGCTACAGAACTAGCGGTAGTTGCCTTAACACATCCCATTCTCCCAAACCTCCATGCCTGGCCCATGCCATTCCCTGTCCCTAAAATTAAAATTCCTACTTCACAAATTCTTAGTCATTCTTTTGGACCGCAAATATTATCTCCCTAATGAGCACCCCAACTCCAAGCAGAATTCATTCGTTTGTTCACTCATGCATTCCTTCAGTACTGATTTTTATTTATTGCTAACTATGTGTCAGATTCTATGCTAGGTACCGAGGATGCAGAAATGAGCTAGGCTCTTGGAAAGCTCTAATAGGGAAAACAGAACTAGGGCAATCAGCCCCCTGACAGACAGAGCTCTGTGGAGGGTGATGGGGAAGAGCAGAAGGGGGATGCCCTTACAAAGTCTCCTGGGGGCTGTAGCCCTTGATCTGAGCTTTGAAGGATGAGTAGGAGTTGGCTAGATGAGGAATGTGGGAGAGTGCTCCAGGAAGATGGTACAAAGGCCCTGAGGCATGAGAATGCAGGTCCCACTACATGTGATTCACTTTAGCTAGCCCTTGGGGGTCAAGAGAAGACCATGAAGGAAGGCAAGACGAGATCTAGAGGGGTTTTAACTGGCACATGGAGGAAGCTTGAAAAATGGTGATTCTGATACTGATGAAGGCAATGGGGAGCAATGGAAGTCTTCCCAGTCTAGAATTACAGGCTTTGGGGCCCCTGGGTGGCTCATTCGATTAAGTGTCCAACTCGATCTCAGCTCGGGTCTTGATCTCAGGGTGGTGAGTTCGAGCCCCGCCTACTTAAAAAAAAAAGAATTACAGGTCTTTCGGCAAGATCGATTTGAGAAATATAATGGAGAGATACAGGGTAAGAATCAAGATGCTGGGTAATGGAACTGGCCCACTGGCTTCTCAGAGTAGCTATGGTAGCAGTTTTCCTTGGAAGCTAGGATGCCTGAACTGAGATCTGAGGAAGGAAAGGGGTGTCCTAGGTGAAGAGAAGGGATGGTGAAGTGGGATCGTGAGTGAGGTTCAGAGAGACCCCATTTACCCACCAAGAGCCCAGCCTGCAAACTCACCTTCCCTTCCTTGTCACACTGTCTTCCCTCAGCTTTTTTAAAGGGACCTTGCTCCCTTTAACAGAGGGCTTTCGACCATTCTGTTCCTCTTCCTGGAGAGCTTCCTGGCCTCCTCCCCCATTCTTGAGGGAATTGGTAAGTTTGGAAAGCACCCAGAATTACCTGAGGAAAAGGATCTGTTTGCAGCAGATACATTTGAATTTGCCAAAAAACTGCCACCAGCTTCACTCACTTAGAAACTGAGGCCAGGTCGTGGTTTTCTCCCTGTGGTCCCATGTCTTCATGGGTAAAATGTGGACCTTGACCTTCACTGCACATTGCACAAAATAAGTGCCCCAAAACTATTTGCTGAATGAACAGCCAGATGAATGTAAGAGCCTGGCCAAGGTTGCATATATAATGTACGCCTGACCTTTCCCCGTGGTCAATGAATTTGTTCTTGATTGGACTGAGCCAGGGTCAATTTCTAGATGGCCTCAGGGCCGCAGGCATATATGTTGGAGACTGCACACCTCAGGGTACAAAGGGTTATACCTGTTCTTGCTCAAAAATTACAGGAAATTGCTAAATGGACCAAAAGAAGAACCAGCATGCTTGCTGCTCTCTGTCTCTCCCCTGGCCCCCAGCTGTTGCCTCATGGAGGGTCAAAACAGGCAAGATAAAATCTGTCCGACTCATAGCTCCAAAAAAACAGGAGTTAGAAATGTGACCCAAGCGTGGTTCTGCCCCACCCAGTGCTGCCTCTCCCCACTGTGTGGCCCAGGGAGGCTCTGACCCAGGACTGGCCACCTCAGGCCTATATCCCTGCCTGTACCAAGTTCCCCAGCCTTCTGTCTTGAGACTCTATTCTGATCTCTCATGAGATCCAAATCTGAGTTCATTTCCAGATAGTGGGCCTGGTTTTCATCTTCTCTAACAAAAAGTCCAGTGTGAGTCAGGGAGGGATGGAAAACCATGATCCTCCAAACCCCTGCTTCTTGGCCCACTGGCTTCTCAGAGGCGTTGCGGTAATACTTTTCCTTAGAAGCCAGGCCCAGCCCCACAGTACCTTGCTCCCTCCAATCTGATCTTGGTGAGGCAGCAGTGTGGATGTGCAGTCTTCATCCCCATCCCAACCCCAGGAGCCAGGAGTCAGCTCCAGAGCCAATGACATTGAGTTGGGAGCCCTCACACAGGCCATGGGACCTGGAGGAGACTATTCTCTCCTATACCACAGAGACCAACCAAGACATATCCCTGGACATAGAACACATCCGTCCTGGAACCTGATACAGGGCCTTTGCCCAGACGTGATTTTAGATCATTATTTGTTGAATGGTCTCCAGAATTATCTGAGTGAATGAATGACTGATATTGACAATGAGTCAGGAGCCTTCAAAACCTGGACACTTCTGGGTTAAAAAAAAAACCCTTATCAGCCTCTTTCTTCTCACCCTGAGACCCCACCTCACCCCACCAGTGAATAGCCATGCAGACCCCCTCTCCCTCCACAGAGTGTCCCAGTCAGTAAGATCACATCTCCTTTCCATATGGCCCTGAGTTAACTCTTCTCCACACTTCATTCCTACTTTCCTCTTTGTCACTGTGCCCTGTCAAAGCACATATGGAGAGCCCTAACCCAGATCAACCTATGTGAAATTGTCTGAGGACAGGAAGTGCTAGAATGCCCCCCATAACACACACACACACTCACTCACTCACTCTGAAGAAGCACAAACTGGGCAAAAATGTAGGAATTCAATTTCACCAAATCATTTTTTTAATTATGGGATTTCCCAGTGTCTCAAAAGAAAATTACAACTCCCAGACAAGCATCTATAAGTAAAAATATAAAGACACTGGCAGCAAGCCCACTGTGGGTGGGAAATCACCAGCAAGGGGAACTCTGCTCCCCTCTAAGAGTTCTATAATTGTTCCAGAGCCATTGTTCCTGCTCCTGCAACCAACCGTACTGTAAGTTGTGTAAGATGCTGTCGAAAGAGCACAGGGCTGAAAGGCAGGAACCTCAAGTTCCAAACCCACAACTGCCCAAGTAGCTGTGTTACCTTAAATGAGCTTGTTAGCATCTCTGGGCTGTCCTGTTTCCATCTGTAAAATGGAAGATGGGCTTTAAATCTTCTTTCTTGGATTTCTAGTATATTCACAGTGCCTGGCCCAGTGTCACCTAGGGAGGGCTTAATAAGTACAAATGAGAAGAAATGGTCCAACATGATTTTTTAAAAGATTTACTTATTTATTTGAGAGAGAGAGAGCATGAGCAGGGGGAGAGGCTGAGAGAGAGAGAGAGAGAAGCAGGCTCTGCACTGAGTGTGGAGCTGGACACGGGGCTTGATTTCACAACCCTGAGATTATGACCTGAGCTGAAAGCAAGAGTCAGACACTTAACCAACTGAGCCACCCAGGCGCCCTGTCCAACATGATTTTTGAGTGAATATAACCCCAAACCTGGCTTAAGATACCATTTCCTAACAAGTTCATCAGGGAAGTTGGATAGAATGCATCTTTGGAAGGTCACAAGGTCTTGGGGTTTTCTCTTTTTCCATAGCCAATTTTTGGCCTATGGGGTAAAAAGAGAGAAGTAGGAGTAACTCTGTGGGGACAGTGGAGGGATTGGTGGGACAGAACAACTGAGGGGGAGGCTTGCTTGTGTCAGTGTGAGCTACACCATTCCAAGTAGTCTTGGACCTGCTACTCTAGGTAATGAGCCTGCATATGGGTTCCTGCCCTTGGGTGGTGAGGACGGTGCCAAGTATCTGCCCAGTGAGTGGATATAAACCCAGACATCATCGCCCCCGTCCCAGCCCAAGAAGGAAGCAGGCTGGGGCACTCTCAGACCACCTTTGCATGAACACAACTAGCCATGTGCCTGTCCCCAGCCCCTGGAGAAAGGAGGACAGCCCTCTGCAGGGTCGGCATGCAGCCAGAGTCCCGGGCCTTACGTCCAAGTAGTAACCCCGGAACTCTGAGGAATGCTTGCTCTCACCCCCAGAGAACTCAAGGGAGGGGGCTCTTGTGCTCCTCCCAACACTCTCTCCATCTCTTCGGGCCCCGGGGAGACTCGTGTACCTGGGAGTTGCTTCAGGGAGGGTTTTCCTAGACTGGTTCTAAGGATGGTCACACAGTCTTCCCAGGACATTTGCCTTCCCTCTGCCTCGCTGAAAACCAGAAAACTAGAAACCCAGTGGGCTACAAAACTCAGCTTCAGAATCAAGCCAGCTCTGTCCCTCACCTACCATCTGGCTGTGGGAAAGCTACTTGGCCTCTGTTCCCTCTTTCATAAAATGAAAGCAGTAGGACCAACCCAACGAACAGTTATATGGATTAAATGAGATCATGCAGAGAGAGCACTGAGGCCAAGCCTGGAGCTAGCTCAAATTTACCATGATGATTACACAGAGCTACAAAAGAAACGTTCACAGACTAGACCAACAATAGGCCTAGGGAAAACTCTGTCAGCAGTGCTGCTAAAGGGGCCGTGGTCAGGTCACGTGACAGTAACTAGGAAAGACCAAGAATGTCAAAATAAAAGAAAACCTCACCCCTTCCCAGAAGTACTGACTCTAGGATGGTGAATGTCCAGGGCTGCTTTAGAGGTTATGGAACCAGCCCCTCACTGCACGGTGGAGGAAACAGGCTCGGAGACAATGTATGACAAGCCTGAGGACACCCCACAGGTTTGTGACAGTATTTGGACAAGAGGACATATCTTCCAATTTCTTCTCGGTGTGGCCAGATTATTTTCTCAGATATTAATCTGTGTTTAGATGGTTGCATTTTTCCTTTGCCTTCTCATTCCAAGAAGGCCTGGGATCTGTCCTCTTTGAGACAGAAGCCACTCCTAGGCCCTTCTCTCCTTTGCATCTGTTTTCCTGAACCCGAGCTCCTTGCAGACTCAGAGGGGTGTCTTGAAGGCCACCCTGGGAGGCAGAAAATGGAAGGGGAGAGGGAAAGGGGACCCTGGGGAGTGGGAAGAGGATCCAGACTAGTGCTCTGCACCTTCAGCGAGCAGTGGGCCATGGAGTTGGGGAGGTAGGGCCCAGGGCACAAAAGCCTCAAGCAGGGCCTGACAGCAGAGTCTGAACCTCACAGGGTACCAGGGCCCATGAGAGAGAGTACAGCCTATAGAAGTGCCCCTTTCCTGGGCAGCACCAGAGGCCTCCTGGATTCTTGGGTGACCCTCATGAGGAGGGGGCCTATAATGACAGCAATAAAGTTTCCTCGCCGTCAGGTAAGACGGGAGTTCAGGGTTGGAACTGAGTTGATCTCAAGAGCATTTCTTGCCCTCCTGGCATGGTAGATTGAGATTCATACTACCCACAGAAGGCACTACTCAGTCCTCTTCATGACAGCATTTCCCATGATGGTATCACCCATCCGTACAGTGCTTTACAAAGTGCTTTGCAACAGTCCATTCAGTCCCTGAGATCCTGACCATTAACCAGATGAAAAATAAAAAGAGACCCCAGAAAATGGACCAGATTTGCTCAAGTTCACACAAGTAGTAAGAGAACCAGGACGAAACCCCCATTCCCCGGACTCCTGGACAGTGCTCTTTACGACATGTCACTGCCTACCCTGTACCACTCTTTGTACACAGCTGGCCTCTGGGTCACTAGGAGAGCTTGCTCTCTGAGAGAGCACACTTCACTGTCACCCAGGTTCCACAGCCCTGGGCAGGCCTCTGCAGGAGAAACAAGGCCTGCAGGAAACATCTGGCGGGCCTCCCCTTCCTGGGTGACACTGCCTTGGTGACTCTGCAGGATGCAGGGATGGCTTTCTAGATGTTTACCTGACACTGGTTGTATGTCAGCTTGAATGGAAGCTGAAGTCTTAGATGTTAACAAAAGCCCCTATAAATGATTGGGAAATCAAAAACAAAAAGTACAAGTGGTTACCAAACAGATGAAAAAAATCTGTAAACCCACTAGCCATGAAGAAATGCTCACCAACTTAAAAAATGGTCAGAAGACATGAAGAGACATTTCTCCAAAGAAGACATACAGACAGCCAACAGACATATGAAAAGGTGCTCACCATCACTCATCATCAGGGAAATGCAAATCAAAACCACAATGAGCTATTACCTCACACCTGTCAGAATGGCTAAAATAAAAAACACAAGAAATAACAACTGTTGTGAGGATGTGGAAAAAAAGGAACCCTCATGCACTGTTAGTGGGAATGCAAATTGGTGCAACAACTGTGGAAAACAGTATGGAGGTTTCTCAAAAAGTTAAAAATAGAACTAGCCTATGATCCAGCAGTCACCCTACTGGGTACTTACCTCAAAAATACAAAAACACTAATTCAAAGGGATACATGCACCCCTATGTTTATAAGCAGCTTTATTTACAGTAGCCAAAGTATGGAAGCAGCCCAAGTGTCCATGGATAGATGAATGGATTAAGAGGTGGTGTGTGTGTGTGTGTGTGTGTGTGTGTAAAATATAATGTTATTCAGCTGTAAAAAAGAATGAAATCTTGCAGTTTGCAACAACATGGATGGAGCTAGAGAGTATTATGCTAAGTGAAGTAAGTCAGTCAGAGAAAGACAAGTATCATATGATGTCACTCATATACAGAATTTAAGAAACAAAACAAATGAACAAAGAAAAAAGAGACAAACCAAAAGCCAGAGAACAAACTGAGGAGAGGTGGGTGGGGGGGATGGGTGAAATAGGTGATGGGGATTAAGACAGCACTTGCTGTGATGAGCACTGGGTGATGTACAGAACTGTTGAATCGCCATACTGTACACCTGAAACTAATATAACACTGTATGTTAACTATACTGGAATTAACATTTTTTAATTTTTTAATTAAAAAAAGAAAAAAATCTAGAAAGAACAATATTTAAAAGAGTGACAAACATTGTTTCCAAAACTGTATGTTTATTTCTATAGCTGGCATCATACCATTTAAATGTTCTCATTTATGAAGTGGTTTTAAAACTCTCCTGCATATATTATCTAATAACATATCCATATACATAAAAAAAGGAAAAATAAATGCCCACTAAATTGATGTTACTGCTGTTGCTGTAATACCTGTTAGGTATTAATATACTATACTATTGATGGGAATATAAATTGACACAACTTTCCTACACACACAGAGACACATCAAAAGCCTTAAAAGTATTCACATGCTTAAATACAACATGGCATCTTGGACTGAATCCTGGATAAAGAACATTAGTAAGAAAATTAATAAAAGCCAAATATAGTCTGGAGCTTAGTTAATAGTAATGTACCAATGTTAATTTATTAGTTTTAGGTAAGATATTAAAGTTAGAGGAAGCTCTGTGAAGGGTACATGGGAACTCTCTGTACTATCTTTGCAACTTTTTGTAAATCTAAAATTATTTCAAAATGAAAAGTTTATTTTCTAAATGTTCACAAGTCTTTTACCCAGAAATTTCATTTCTAAGATTTTACCTCAAAACTTATCACAGATATATGGGGCTCCTGGCTGGCTCAATCAGTAGAGCATGCAACTCTTTTTTTTAAAACATTTATTTGAGAGAGAGAGAGTGCACGTAGAGGGAGGGCAAGAGGGAGAAGGAGAGAATCTCAAGCAGACTCCCAGCTGAGCGTGGAGCCTGATGTGAGGCTGATCCCATCACCCTGAGATCATGACCTGAGCCAGAACCAAGAGTTGGAGGTTCAACAGACTGAGCCACCCAAGCCCCTCGAGCATGCAACTCTTGATCTCGGGGTCATGAGTTCAAGCGTCATGTTGGGCATACAGCTTACCAAAAAAAAAAAATTTAAAAAAAAAAAACACCAGCAGATTAAAACAAAACAAAATAAAAAAGAAAGGCCTAGCATATTTTTTTAAAGAATTTATTTATTTATTTATTTGACAGAGAGACACAGCGAGAGAGGGAACACAAGCAGGGGGAGTGGGAGAGGGAGAAGCAGGCTTCCTGCTGAGCAGGGAGCCCGACGCGGGACTC